ACTTTCTGTTGTTGTGGTTTTAAAATATGTATTCAGCCTATGTAAGAAATGCTTTTATATATATTACCTTATGTAGTTCTCAAAATAACCCTGCCAACCCTGTTACCTACATTTTATAGATAAGGAAACAAATTTAGGGAAAATTGAAGACTCGGGTACAACACTTGACATCAAAGTGTAAATCTATATTAAGAAGACCAAGACTGTGCATTATGAGATTAATGTTCATCACCTGCAGCTGTGCACCTCTGGATGACTTGGGTTTTTAACTTTAAACTTTTGCTTCAGTTTGGAAGAGACTTTTGGATGTGGTTATCTGAATGACTTTAACACTGCTTGTTTACAAGAGCCGCAGTCTGTTTCAGTTCTCCAGCATCTTCTCAGGTATGGAAAGTAATTGGTGTTTGGTGGCAAACGGAAGTACCTGTCTTAAACCAATACTCAGTCAGTCTTTGAGTTTTAAAAATACTGCCACCATTGAATTATGCAGATATGCAGCATACTCTAGTCCATTGTTTGGGAAGATAAAGCTTGATAATGGCGTAACTTTTGGTTTTGGAAAACAGCATCTTCTCACTTTCTGTGATGTGAAGGAAAATCTCTGCTTTGAGCAGCTTCTGAGAGAGTACCTTACTTGCCTCCTGATTTTGACTCATGATATTAAATATTTTACATCTTTCTGTGTGATGTGCTCATATGCTTTTGTTCACACAAGTGTTGTTGAAGCCAGCCTTGTCAGAAATAACTATCTAAAAGGGCCATGTGGTTATAAACAAGGCATTTTTCTCTGATTGCCACATGGTATAGTTAGCAGTTCTAGGCATCCAAAAACTTTACTCACAGATGACTGGTTTGCAAGGGAAAATAAACCAGTCTGATTTTCTTAACCTTGAAGGTGCTTTGCTGATTCATAGATTGTTTCTCAACATGGTTGCAGACTTTGTATATTTATTTTAAAAGCCATGATTTAAGTCTTTGCTCTGGACTTATGGAATGTCAACATGATTTATAAAGTTCTTGCCATCAAGGAATTTGTAAGAAAGAAAAGTATATATTTGCTTTCAGATGGCTTCTGCTTTTCATAATGTCAGTATCCAACTTTTTAATATCATAACAGCTTATAACATGTGAACATGTCCCAGACAGCTGCTTGTCATCTTTCTTTTAGGTTTGATGAGGTGCTTTATAGATCATCTCAAGACCTTCAACCCAGGCACATTGTTAGTTACCTGCTAACTCTAAGGTATTTTATAATCTTCCTATTTTCAGGTATTAATTTGATCCAATGAGAAACCTTTTTTTAATTCAAAGTTTTCCCATAAACAAGTCCCTTGTCCCCAGAATTAATGTGCTTTATAAGAATTCTTATTTTGTCTTTGCCAACTAGTAATTCGTATTTATTTATTAATTCAGTGATGTAAGATAATCACCACAATCACGTGAGTAGAAACCAACAGTGACACGGAAGTCAGCCACAGTGCATATGTGCTGTGATAGAGGAACATAAGAGACATCATCAGCCCAGCAGCTGGCTTTGCAGGACCAGAGACAGTTGCTCAGAGGAAAGCAGCTATTGCTAGACGAAGCAAGCAGCTAGGAAGGAGGAGGCACAGTCCTGGGAGGGGGGAGAAAGCACACATAGATAGTCTTTCTGCCATTTAGACTACTTTTTAGGGCACTGGAGTTCGTAACAGTTCTTAGCAGAAACAGAAGAATCAGTCAGCAAAGTGTAGAGTGAATGGGGAAGTGAATCACTGACACTTGGATGGAAATTTTAGTTTTAGCTAGTTGAGTCTGCTCGTCTAGAAATAGCTTTATCTTCCCATAAAGCTTACTAAACTCAAACTGAGACTTCATTTTTTTTTTTTTTTATGCTGAGAACTGAACCCAGGACCTTCACACGGAGCTGCATCCCCACTTATTTTTATTTTGAGATGGAGCCTTGCTAAGCCACTAAGTTGCACAGACTGGCCTCAAACTTAGCAGTTCCCCTGCCTCAGCCCCCAGAGTGCTGGGACTACAGGCATGTGTCACCATGCCTGGCTTGTTTTATACTGCTTACCTTTTCTCTCAGATTTAAGTGATTAAGTTCTACTTAGACTTGTAGAAGTGACAAGACCAGAAAGTCTTGTCACTTAATCATTAAATGAATGTCTTCTCTCATTGTTGTACTTGCTGCCATACCTAAACAAAGAAGGTACTGTAAAGAAAAGTGCTCAGTGTGTATGCAGGGTGAATTGATAACTAGTCCATATCCTACCTCCTCCCTATACCATGTTGTACTTTTATTTAGTTAGACCTTTTGAGACAGGGCCTCACTAGTAGTTCTGGCTGGCCTTGAACTCACTTTGTAGCCCAGGCTACCCTTGAACTCAGGAATTCTCCTGCCTAACCCTCCCCAAATGCAGGGATGTGCCACCATGCCTGGCTCATGTTACACCTTTAAGTGCTATCCAAAAAAGGACAAACTAATTGTTAGAAAGGAATGCCCTATATTTGTAAAGCTAACAGTGATATAACCTTAAGAATCTGCCACTTGACTATCCAACAGGACCAAAATCTAAGTTTCGTGTGTTTTATCTATTACAGAAAAGGCAGACAATTCCAGTCTCAACTTTACAGTTTTATACCTCCTTCAGTGTTTCTAAGCTTTATTCTAAAGTTGTGGAGCCAGGGCTGGGGATATAGCTCAGCCACACAGTGCCTGCCTGCCAACCATGAGGTCCTGAGTTCAATTCCCAATACCAAAAATAAGTTAAAGAGGTGGGGTTATTCATATATTACAGTAGGAAATTACTGTTGTTCCCCATCATGATTCCTCCCTTCCCATTTCAGTCATCTTGCAGCTATGGCACATAAAACACTTCAAATAAAAGATAGTCCTCCTGAAGTGGCTGCGGTAAGTTATGTTGAATGTCTTTACAGAGTATCTGAATCGGTCTCATAAATTTTTCTTAAATAGCATTCTTTTGTTCAACACTTTCTGATTCTCGTAAATCTAATTAGAACTGGGCTGTAATCATACATGTTTATGTATTTCCAAAAATACTGTATTACAAAACCCATCTTTGTGCATCAGGTATTATAATGATAAATTGTTCCTTTCTCACTTCACAACTCCTATACTGGTCTTATTATAAGAAGGGATGAATATCTTTCCTGGCCAATAGTAAACTCTAGGACAATTTGAGGTATAATTCCTACTTTAGAAGAAAGTTAAAATTCTAAAACCATCCATATTTACATAAAATAGCATGTTACTGAACATTTACTTGTTCTTTATTTTGTAGGCTAGACTTCATCTTTTCAAAGCTGTCCGTTACGTCCTAGCCAATGGAATGAGACTTCTTGGAATAACACCTGTATGTAGGATGTAATTTATCATTAAAAAGGGCTTGTTACAAGCTAAATAAATTCGATATTTTTAATAAGTGCTTTGCTATTCAGATTACAATGTAAACTATTATTTTGTGCCAGTATATTTTACTAAGTGTGAGTGACTTAACTTATGAATGTTGTTTTTGTTTTGTTGAGACCGTCTCACAGTGTTACCAGTGTTACCCAGGCCAAACCTCAAACTTCTAGGCACAAGAAATCCTTTTGCTTCAGCCTCCTGAACAGCTGAAAATACAGGTGCACACCACCACACCCTTAATCTTTTTGCTTATAAGTCATGTGAGTTTTATGGCCAGTAGGTACTGAATTACATATTTTTAAACTAAGTCTCTTTAAATTCAAAAACTACAGTACAGTGCAGATAAAGGATGAGAATTTAAACTGGTTTGAGGTTTCTTACAGTGTCATTTTCAGAAACTTATCACTGAGGTGATCTGATATTTTAAGTAACTGATGATGAGAGAAGGATCCTAATTTTTTAAAATCATGGCTAATTTTGAAAAAATACAGAGACCAAAGGTAAACCTCTTCATTGACAATGATAACTACTCCCAGAGAGCCTACCTAATACTTAACTTTTAGTTGATATATCCTGGTAATGTACTCTGTAAACTTAGGGACTGAATACATTTTAACTACAAGGAGTTACTTGTAGAGATGTTGTTAGGATCTTTTATAAAATGTAGTAACTGAACATTTTGGAGTTAAACACTGCTTCCATGTATTTGTGTGGTTAAGGTATATTTTGTGTGACTGGATTGATAAGATTAGATGACACAAGTAGGAGGTATCGTGTGGTATATTCTGTCAGCACAGTCATCCTCCTGAGCAACTCTATTCAAGTCTGCTGTAATTTCTTAAAAATGTTGCTAATAGAAGTTTCTAAGGGTTAGGGGTGTGGTTCAGTAGTACAAAACTTGCCTGTCACATAGAAAACTTTAAGTTTGATACTGAGCACTGCAGAAGAAAAAAAAGTCTTAATACCAGTGAACATCTATTTCACTGAAACCATCCTTATTTACATAAAATAGTATGAACTAAAGCTTCTTCAGTTGGGATAAACATCACTTTATAGTAACAAATCGTTTACTTCCCTGGTCCTAGAAAACTTATCCATGCCTCCATTTTAAGTAAAATGGCTTCCAGATAACTAATTTTCTGCTTAAAGTAACAAAAACATTTCTCAGCACAAACCAGACATGGAATTAAAATCTACAATACCATCATGTTTTACATGTCCAATATTCCTCTCCACTTTCAGGAATCTTCCTCTTTCTAAGACTAATGATATTCTCCTGGGTATTAAATCTTCAGTAAATGATACAGGAATGGTAACAGTTAGACCCAAGCCTACACCAAAGCAGCTCCCTGAAAAGTCTATTCATTAGTTCTACAGGTTGAAACCCTATTATCCCTGATTGTGGTACTACCTATAAATTCCTTTATTAGGCTTCAGGCTTGTCAGACTTGGGTAGTAGCCGTTATTTGCAAACTTTACTTTTTATAGTTCCACATACAGGAAAAGCAAAAAAAAAAAATCAACATTTTGGTTTTTTATGTTTTTGCATGGTCATATCTGCAATAAAAAAAGTGATTCAAGAAGATTCATATAAATAAAGTTTATTGCTAAATTTCCCACATTAACATTATAGAAATATTTTTAAAACACTGAAATTTCACAAATTATTGAGAACCCAACAACTATATAAAAAAAGGTATAAAAGTGACATTTTAGAAATTTTCTTGAGGACAAGTATATGTAACAGCAAAGAAATATGAACAGGACAATAAATGGCACAAATATAGCACTAAAGGAGTACTCAGTCACCACCCAGAGATCACTGAGTTACAAAATAGATTCCTTTTGAGAAGTTACACATTCAGGTTGTTTCTGAACTAGCCTGTCTTGTTTCGGTTTTTGTAACAACTAGGTCTTTACTGCTGTTGAGACCAAATACTGTACATGACAGAGGAGAGGTCATCCTCCCCTGGTACCTGAACAACAGAACAGTTAGTACAGAAATGGCTTTGGCACTTTCACCTCTAGATAGTATTCCATACCTTATCACTTGATTTCAGAAGCTTCATATGATTTTTTAATACCGTATCATCTTCATACTTGTTATGTACATTATATATATATATACACAATAAAATTCCTTCGTTCTAAAACAATATAGCTTGATCCTCAACAAGTCTACAGTTGTCTCTGTGTTAGCAGTTCATTCTGCAGCTTTCTTCTTTCTTCTTAGGCCATACAGTTAACTTGTTCTTGGTTAAGCTACCTTCTGAGACTGACTTAAGGCTCTAGTTTAATGCAAGCTGTTTAATCATAGTAGGAATCTTCTGAGGCTCAAATCACACACCAATGACTCTCTCTTTTGAAGCTGTTTCTCCTTGCTGGATGGATGTAGTATCCTGTCTGGGTAATCCATAGAGATATATGGAAACACATACAAGAAGGGTACCCAGAGCAAAGGTGAGTGCTGTGGGGGGAAAAGAATGCTGTGTTTGTGCCTTTAAAACTCTGTAACAATCATTTATGTAAAAATTTTAAAAATTTTAACTGTGGGTTAACGTTATCAATTGTATGAGAAAGCTAGATACTCCAATTTTCTAATGGTAAACTTTAGAAAGGTTACCCATTCTAGCAAAAGAAAAAACAGTAAAATCAAGGAAGTGATGATCACTGTTTACTAATCACACACTGCTGAAGACACAGTTATGCCTAGCTTGGAGCTCCCTGACACCATAATAGCTTCAGTTTAAAGGAAGTACATGTGAATACAGAAGAAAATGCAATGGGACATGGCTTTCCTGTGGTACCAGAAACCTGTAAAGTTTAGGCAAAAAATTGAGTAAAATTTAAAGAGTTAGGTGTGAAATTACTCAAATTAATGAAAATTTCTAAACAGAAGGTGAAATGGTGATTTACTGTATAAAATAAATTTCCTGTTAGACTTACCCTGTGTATCTTAATCCTAAAATATGAGTATGTAAGACATTAGAGCTGCTCCAATCTTGACATGCAGGCATGATGTAAGTGCTTATATCAAAAGTGTACATTTTAATAAAAGCTGAAACATTCTATGTGAAGTACAATTGCAGTCTTCACAGCTTTTAAATATGGTATGTAAAAAATGATACAAAGCTATGATTTTACCTCATTCTTAATTACTAGAAAAGATCATCTTTGCCCTTAAAAAGGGTAGTAGTTTATTATCATGTTTAACTAATTAACAAAAAGATTTTGCCTAGAAAAAACATTAACCAAAAGCAGATTTTTCTCAGGAGAAAAGACATAAGGACTAATGTTCGACATAAGGAAGGATCAGAACTATAATTAAAGTTAATCAGGTAAGAACACCTCTAATCAGGTAAGAACACCTAAGGGAAGGGAAGGTCTAGAGATATCTCACACTGCAGTGATAAATGGCTGGCCTTATATAGCTCACTTCCTATGTGGCAGGTACTCTTTCAAGTAGATCACTTAGAAAGCAACCCTAAGAGATGGGCAACATTATTCTCATTGCAGATGAAGAAAATTTAAGACACAGGTTGCATTAATTTTCCCAAAGCTGCACAGACAAGATTTCTACCCTACTACAGAATGTTTTTTTCTAGGTTTTCTGCAACATTTGTATTCTTTTATTTGCATTTAAGAGTAATCAGCTCTCCAAAGAAATGCAAATATAGGCCAGTTCTGCTTTTACTTTATCTAGATCTCTGACAGCTTTCCTACATATATTAGTATCGTAACTGATTGATAAAAATATAATTATTACTACACACCATAAAAGCACCCTGAACTGCTTACTATTGCTGCTTTAAAAAAAAGATAAAACATGTTTTCTGCTTTTCTCAAAATAAACCTAGTTTAATTCCACTGCTGAAAGTAATCATTTTCTAAAGTCCTCCAATTTGTTCCCTTGCATACCCAATCATACTGTAGTAATCCCTGAGTATCTAAGGGGGCACTGGTTCTAGCACCCACCTCAAATACCAAAATCTGCAGATACTCAAATTGCATGGAACTTAACACATATCTTCCCATCTACTTTAAATCATTCATAGATTACTCATACCTATATGGTTCAGAAAATAATGACAAGAAAGTCTCTACACAGGCAGTACAGAGATAATTTTTCCTGAAATATTTGCCATCTATGGCTGGTTGAATCCACAGGTACAGAATCTACAGATATAGGGCCACCTTCACCCTGACTCAAATCACCCTGTTTCTAAAACTAAAAAGATGCTGACTATAAACACTCTAGTAACTCCTAGCTTGCACATAAAATGAGCACTTGTTTTAGTTCTAGAACCATTTAAATGGCCTAATGACTGCTAGCACACATTTCACACAACTCTGAACTGCTGTACTTCCATGGTAAATTGTAGCTAAACTAGACATTCCTATAAATAATACGGACAACTGCCAGGAGTTAGAGAAAGAATCTCTGTGTGTAGTTCAGGCTGACCTTGAACTCAAGGTGATCCTTCTACCTCCTGAGTGCTAGAATTACAAGTGTGCACCACCCCACCTGACTCCAACTGCCATTTTCAATAAGAGAAGAAATGAATCATGAAGTAAGAGGCTCTTCCAAGAAAACAAAACAAACTGAAACATACTTATCTGTAATCCAAACAGGATCACTGAAGCAATGGTAGAAAGGACAATGGCTGCTGCTGCAGAAAAACCTTTCATGATGTTGTCAGTGTACTTGACCACAATGGAAGTGTAGAGGCCTCCCACACTTGCAAGAACTTGGGATACAAAAAAATAAAACCTTAACACTCAAATAAATGAAACATTCCATGACGGTGAAATAATTTTCATCAGACATAGCATATTATTTTACTTAGGAAAGGGAAAATACTATTTTTCTAGAAATAGTCATCTGAGAGAGTTTGTACTAAAATTGAATGGTTCCCACATAACTATTTCTCAGATGCCCAAAAGGCTGTGTGGTCTTCTACTAAATTTGTATACATTTATTGCTAACACATTAGATACTTTTGATTGTAAAGGCAAAATTGCTTTGTGATAGCTATGCCACAAAAGTTAATAAAACCAAAAGTAAATTTTCCAACTGCTATTCAAAGTATCAAAGGAATAATTTCAAAATGCTACAAAGCTTACAAGCAACATCTAACTTCAAAAAAATAAAAAAGGGTCTACTTAGAGGCTTTAATACTGCGATACTTACATATGACAAACCAGACATAGTATGTGTAACCATAGAAAAATCCTTTTTGTTTAATTTCAGCTCCATCTGACAAGTAGGCACCAACTAATGTCACAATGATCCCTGATAGATACATTTGAATGTTTCTCACCCAAAGGGAAGTATCTGAACTTTTTAAGACTTTTTCAAAATATACTCCTAAAAGATAAAAATATTAACAACATTATGAATTAACTTAAAATATATTTCATTTAGAACATACTCTAAAGATACAAAGTATGATGGGAACAAACAAACTTTAAACATACATTTACTATGTACATTATGACACATATACTGAACAACACTAATTTGCATTTCTTAGACCATACAGTCTAATAACTAATGACTAATAACTAAAGGGGAATTTTATAAACAGGCGCTGTAAATTAAAAACATTTCTACCTTTATTATAGCAGCAAGATACATCACAAAAGTACTGTATGCTACTTAACACCAATAAGACTTGCTTTAGTTAGATGGAAAACTTTAATACTAGATGGAATTATCTTAATCATACTCCTATAATGATGCTTAAAAATGAATACACCTAACTTTTTAGAATAACCTAATCACCACTTGTTTTTCAGAATGATACAACCAAAATAAAATTAACTAGAACTTGCTGAGTGAAGTCATTTTCCTTTCAGGTTTATACACAATGTCAGAAGAATCATCAGCTTCTAAGTAGGTAATAAACTGTGTGTACACATGCTTTCTGGGCTTGAGGTTCCTTAGATACTTTTCAGACATTCTAAAAGAATACATGACTCTGCCACCCTCAACAGTCATATGCCGCTCTTGTAAGCTTTGTTATTTGAGTGAAGGTATATTTTTTAAAAAGTTTTAGGTATAAACATGTTAGAGACTTATGTAGTACTAAAATACTTATCAATGTAAAGTATAATAAAAAAAAAAACAGTATTTTTCATGAATTTATGCTGGAAAGAGCCAAAGAATGAAAACATAAAAGGCGGTTCTTATTTCTATCTTTGATCTTATGTCTGGGAAAACCACTTACTCAGTACTCAGTTACTCTTTATAAACCACCCCATTTCCTCAGTTGTAATCTAAATACAATGTTGGACATAACTGCTCAAAAGTATTGCTAGAAATCAAAAGTGTATTATTTCTTGAGTGACTCAATTTTTATTCCTAATTTGTTGGATCTTATAATAAAGGTTTAAGATAATACTACGATTACTTAAGTATATTTCCAAATTTAGAAGTTTTCTTCCTATAGAGTATGTCATTTAACCAACAGTTTATTTCCTCCTCAAAAATAAAAATTACTAATGCTTAAAATAGGTACAAATAAGGATAAAGACATAAGCTATTACTAATATATTCTCTCCTAAAAACAGCTTTAAATTTCATCTCTGTTGGAACTGTTTTAAAAATGTCTTTCTTATATTGCACTTAGCATTAATACTTCTTGATTTGCTGGAGAAGCAGTTGTCTCAACACATATGACCCAGACTTCCCTGATTTCTTGATGTGATTTTTACGTTTCTTCTCTCCCTTTCAACTGTTTTTGTATTGTTTCTAAAAAACACTCTATCTATGTTCTCTTTCTATTCTATAGCTCCCAGTCTGCTGAAGGGAAACTTGAAGTTTTTGAGCTGTTATATTAGCAGCCTACACTAGCAAGAACTATTGCCGGTTCTAGAAAACTATAAAGCTAGTTGACTTTTCTGAAAGTTAATTTCCTCTAGTTTGAGTCCCCCTCCCCCACTTTGTTTACTGTTGGACTGCTGGTTAGACTGAGATGGTCAGGGATGACAGGCGTACATTCTTAGATAACTGCAAGTCTAAATAAGGACTGAGGTCTAAAGTGAGTCAATGCCACACACGAGAGATACAGGTGACAAAGAACAATAAGCATAAGAAGATAGAAGGATTACTAGGAATAAAACTGTTCTGCTAGAGCAAAATAAACTAGATCCATTCTTTTTTTTTTTTTTTTTTTTTTTTGTCTTTTTCCTTTTTACCGGTACCAGGGATCGAACTCACGACTGCCTGCTTGCAAGGCAGGCGCTTATGCCGCTGAGCTAAATCCCCGGCCCCCTAGATCCATTCTTAAAGTATGTTTTTAAAAAGTGGCAACAGGTAAAACTATATTTTTCATGACATACCTGCAAATCCAGAGCACAACACAGCAATAGCTATAGCACCAAAACCCAATAATGGGTTCTGTTCCACCTATAATAGTAATTTTAAAAGGTTTTTTAGTAACAAATAGAATTCATCTAAGTCTAAACAAATAATCTGTGTTAACATTCTACTAAAAGTATATTTTATATCAGACACAGCTATTCTGTAGAATAAGACCAATCAAAAAAGTCTATTCCAGAAATTAACCAGAGCACTTAAAAATGTGTCCCTCAAATCACAGACATGATAATCCTATTTCCTAATGCTAATAAGCACTCTAGCACAATTTCCCATATTTAGCTGGCTTTTGAATTTTGATTTCTGCCATGACTCTAACCCCTTATAGTGTTGTCATGAAAATGGTGGTAACTTATTCTTCATCACCTACAGTATGGAAGATCGGACTTTTAAACTGAATTTTCATTGAATATTTATAGTATACCTTCTGTGTACCAAAATCATAGCTGTATACTGAACAAAGAAGGCAGTACTCACAAAACTCTGGTTCTTTTATAGTTTCATGTGTAGGAGAGACTGACAAGTATATATAACCGTAATACTGCGAGACATGCCCGGAGATGCCTGTGTATGAGGTCCCAAACTACTATTCCAAATTCATTTTCTCACTTTCATCTCTTTCCTTGAGATTTCTCAACAATATTGTTAAAATTAAAGAGGACTGAGACTCAACTGCAATATTACAAGGAAGAATATGCCTTGTTCAAAATAAATAAGCCTCATGTAAGGAGAGTAAGTACCTGAGAGAGAAAGCTTGGTCTAAAATGTTTGTATGAAGATAAAAGGAGAAACAGAAGACATTGTAGACCAGTGGTTCTCAAAGTGTGGTCCCTCCCTGGACCAGCTGCAGCAGCATCACCTGGAAATTTATTACAAATGGAAATTGTCAGGCATCATCCCAGGGATGAGCCCAGCAACCTGTTTTAGATAGTATCTACTAAATTTTTGACTTGCTTTATTGATCTCTACAGTTAGGAAACAGTAAGTGGTCTCTGGACAGGTAAGAAATTGACAGGTGATAAAGTGGACATGATGGAAATAGGATCAAGAAGGCAACCATGTCATTTTAGCACGAGTGCCTGCCACACACACAGTTAGGGATACTGCGTCAATCCTGAATAAATCAGAATTCAGATAAACTACCAATTAGAATTCCATGACTGGTGGAAAAATGGTTCAAGAGGGATTAAGAGGTCCTGAAGAATGAACTTCTGGTAAAGAGTTAAAACGAAGAAATCAACATAACTAATTAAGATGTCTTTACTGAACTGCAGACCATCAAGAGAAATACAACCAGAAATTTTAAAATATTAAGGAATTAAAAACTCAGAATAAGCAGAGGCTTACGGCGGGGGGGGGGGCTTAAAACATTAAGGAAGGCTTTTTAAAATATGGCTTTTTTATTCGAGGAGAACATATTTCTTGAGCTAGATAATGTGCTATTAGATGACAACAGAGTTACTCAAATCTAGTTTCTATTTTTCCCTATAAATGATAATTGTTAAATACAAACATACTTAGAATACAGACAACTTGAACTTATGTTCACCATTGAAAACAGTATGGTTTCCCTCAGAGTGAAACATACCAGATTTCTTTACTGAAAGGATTCCTAGAGTTAAATGATAAGAGGAATTCCAAAAAGGCAGTGTTTGGCAAGAAATCTGACAGATTTGCCCAGTATCTTTGCAGACCCAACAGTGTGCTGAGGATAATAGAACAGCCCATGTTCATACAGAAAAAAATGCTAATAGGATCAAATCAAGCTAGACAGGCAACCAGTGCCAGCTTGTCCAGAGTATGATAAACCCACATAGAAACACATCCTCAGGGCTTAAGCAAACCTTTGTAGCTGACTGCAGCCCTAAACAGTGGCTTTACTACAACCTTCTAAGAGATCCAAGTCAAAACCACCAAACAAAGGCAACCTTTGGAACCCTGATCCTGTTGTAAAATTTTCACTCAAGACTTTCCCACTCTTAGAGAGCATACTAAAGGGAAAGCTAATAGGTGGAAATTGGGAAGAACTCAAAGGGCTGACACAGAACAGGATGAGCTGCCGAAGTACAAACATCCTGTATTTTCGTTTAGGATTAAGTCTGCTATATGAGACATTTGAGACAAATTTTGTGACACAGCTACATACAGTTGTGTGTAGTCAATTCTAAAATGGACGCCCCTGCTCTCCCCAGAAAACTAATATAATCTGATGCTGATTCAGAACAAGGAGGGAGGAGAATGGTGTGAAGTTTTAAGACCTACTGAGGAACAAGGACAGATCAATGAATGCATCTAGAAGAAAAATAAGTCTTGGGCTGGAGATAGGGACCAGTAAGTTTCCATCTAGAAACCATACCATGGAAAGGATAGAGTTTTGTAAATGGGAGACAGAGGGCACCTGGGGGATGAGGACGTGAGGTTATCTTCAAGCATTCACAAGGTCACCTTATGGAATTGGCACGGATTTAAATTATTCTAACAAGAACGATGATAAGTAGTTATAAGAATCTGCATTCTGCTTAAAATACAAAAGGATCTTGAGTGGTCCAAGTAGAATAAACTGCCCTTAACCTACTCCAACTAACATACTTTCCATGTATCTAAGATGGACCTAATGGTTTTTCTGATAGTAAGATATTACTTATAGCTCACATTTAACATTTAAATGTTTGCCTTCCCAAAGAATTTATTTATATGAAGTTGTACTGAGTTAATTGGTGCATATTTAATAAATGTTTTGAAATGTCACCAAGGATATGAATGTACTTTCACAATATCTGAATGCAGTAAGTATTAATCTAAAAGTCATTTTCTAAAAATAGATTTCTCTACAAACTGGAGAGTAACTACTAAAAAGAAGCACACTTGCCACTTTTTAAACTGTCCATTCCTAGTTGCCCTTCATAAGACAAATACGGTCTATTTGCTAACAGTTGAAGAGTGTGTATTTGAGTATAGAGAAAACCCCTGACTTTTAGAAGGCATTCACCAGAGATCCACTTCCTACTTCTCTTTAGGGAATAAATGATTGAGACATGCAGTATTAAAAATATATAAAATCAGGTATGTACCTTAATATTCACTCTTGAAAACTGTAAAGGGCATTTCTTTTTCTGCCCTGTTTTCATTATCAATGCTCAGAACACCATTCCTGTTATCATGTTAAGGGGAAAGAATGAAAACCAAATAGAGAAAACCTTTTCTAGTGTGTCTGAGATGTTTTTAAGAACATGTAGAAATTTGTGTAGTTGACAGTTTTAGTCACAAATTAGTGATTAACTCTCTCTTTGGACAAGTCATTGTATCTCTTTGGACTTCAGTTTTGTAAAACAAAGGAATGGGAAACATGTATAATGTATTATCTCTAATATATTTAATATATTCCTTCAAGAAACAGAAAACTAGTCTGTATTACTATCGTTAACAGCACAACTTAAAAAGCCTCTCTAAAAGGCAAAATTTACTTTAAATCAAAGAAATGTGATCATGCTATAAACATCAGTGTAACTGTATGTATCAGACTGAGGTAGAAATTTCCTACATTAGTTTTGGTATGTATTTTGTTTCTTACCACAACTTTTGTAGCTTGGGCTGGTTTCCACTGTACAAGTGTGACTCCACCACACAGCATAAATACTGAAATCCACTGTAATTTGCTAAGTGTCCGGTTTAACATTAAAACAGTACATAAAGCAGTACAGGGAATCTTCAACTGGTAGGTCACCTGGCAACAAATTAATGAATTAATAAATTTGGCTATTATTAGTCTCTGAAAAATATTTCTAAAATCATTAATATTTGAGAAAATTATTTAACAATGTGATATAATTACTAAAATTCTTTCTATAATAAAAATGTTTCAAGACTTTACAACTTATCATTAGCTACACTTACCTGGTATACTGCTGCATCCAGATTGCTAAGAGCTAGGAAAGCCATGTTGTTCTGAACAGCATACACTAATGAAGGCACACTTAACTTCATCAGTTCCTTAGGGCTCCCCAAGACATTTTCACTTAAAGAGGCCTTGAATCTACTCAGGCTACCAGTTTCTCTTGGAAACAAAAGGGGGAAATGGGAAGATAGTAAAGTAGAAAATTAACATTCTTTTAATAAAATTCCTTCACACACAGATAACTATCTTGTGCACTGATACAATTCATTATAATTTCTAACTAATTTTAGAGTTAAAGAAATTTAATGTATTTCTATTTGAACAATATAAGATTTAGAAAAATCTGACATTAAGTTTACCACTTTTGATTAAAGCTTCAGAAGCTTTTGTATATATTAAGTAATGAGATGAGGAAACAATTAAAAATTAATCTTCTGCCACTTTAACCATACTGCATCAAGTTCACTCATTATTTTCTAGCCAGACTTCATAGTTAACCTTTTAAAACTTTTTTCCCACATGACAACACATTTAAAGTACAAGCAAAAGAAAAAGGCTTACTTTTTATTTTGAAATTATATGAATTAGGAATCAAATGATTCAGGTCAATATCTGTAAATGAATTCATTTATTTTAGAAAATATAGTAGATACAATTAATCTAATTTATATTAGCACAGTGTCAAAATTTTAAGCCCAATCTGCATAATTTTATGGGAAATCTGAAAAGTTTGTTGATGTCAAGAAAAGTAAACTGCATAACGTACAAAAAATTCTTGACTGCATATTGATTATGCATGCTTTTCACAAATCTGAATTATTTTTGCTCAGGAAAACTAATCCAGCTTGCAGTTTCCCTGCTATAAATCATTTATTTCCTGAGAATAAAATTCTTACAAGTATCAATACCGCAAAAAAGTACTTTACCAGATTGGTCCTAAACACAACTTAAAATTCCTTTACAAGAACCAGAATCTTCATTGATAACATAGGTATTTATGATAATCATAATAAGCTCTATTTTTGTTAATATTAGAATCAAGTTTTGAATTGAATATTTTATTTTTAATGTCCTCTAAAATGAAAACCTATACACTAATGTATACTCCAAGTGCTACCCTAAAGGAATGATTTAGAGATACATTTAATACAACTTGCCAAATTCTCATGCTTTATTTCCTTCATATTCACTTGTGTCCTACAGGAGGTTCTTCAAGCTACACCCTCAAGGCATAATGGTTACTATCATTTCCCGAATCCTCAACTATGGGCAATGCTATTTTATCTCTGCCTCTTAGAAATAAGTCTTCATAAATATTAATGACTTTCTTAGCCGTTCAAAAAAACAGGCTGGTTGACCTTCATTAAGGGCCAATTACTGCTGTTTTAACCATACTGTAGTAAGGCCTAATTACTATTGAATGACCAAACCTGCACCAAAACCAAGCTGTGATCCATTTTCTTCCTTTCACTTTTCTTAACTCTCCAACTTTTTCAGCTTTTGCATGAAACAATTAGTAGCCAATCAGAACTCTTTGTTCCTTCAGTGTGACAAACCAGTATAGTACAGTACAGTACACCAAGATTAACCTTTAGGTTTTCATCTCTTTGGGCCAGATCTTATTTTTTGGAAACTCAAAAGCTGTTTTTTCAATGCCGGGAAGGTTTAGGTATCTTTGTCTGTTTCCCTCTGATGTAGGTAGATACTAGAGAAACCCAAGTGTAAGAAGGAGTATTGGAAGGCTCAAATTTCACTATAGTATCTTAGAATTATGACAATATAGTTTTAAGATACTGAAATAAGTTACAGAGGCTAAGAAAAAAAAATCAGAAAGTAGACAAGCAGATTTATGAGGCATAAGAATAAATGGAATCTTACCCCATGAAGTTTAAAAGGGGATGAATTATTGTTATTGTAGTCAGATTCATCCTGTGTAACTTATTAAGAATATAGCTTGTATTTAGCTTTACTCACTAAAAGTATTTTTTAAAAATAACAAGAATAATGTATCTTCCCCAACATACTACTATATTGTCCTTTCTTCTAATACAAAGACAAAAATACAAAGTCAGTTCTAAATTTACTACAGTCTTGAATACTGTACAAGAAAAAAAACTAAAGGCCATTTTCCTGACTTTGTTTCTTGGGAGTCAAATCAAGCACCTTAATGTGCACCTTTTGTTAAAAACAAAGATTTAATTATGTAAATAATTTTTCAAGATGAGAGCATATATAATCAAAAAGCTTCTTAGATTCAGTTTTTTTTCCTACTAATTTTGTTTAATTTTTAACACTGATATAGAATCTGTGTGCAATATTGGTTACCTGAAGAAATCCTCAAGTTCCATGTTTGTTTTATTTTTAACTTTAAAGAGAATAAAACCAAATAAAGTACAACAGAATAATGCCAATCAAAACAAAGCAATGGAAGTGATATAGGACTTCAAAACAAGATAACAGGTAATAATGGCTCCCAAAATGCCTCTTGTTATCTTCAAAATAGCTGCCCAAACCGACAAAATCAAACAGAATAAAAACAATCAAAACAAAATAATGAAAGCAATACAGAACTTCAAAACACAATAATAGGAAATCAATAATGGGTACTGTACATTGTTGTCTCCAAAATAGCTGTTGATACCGTCAGACAATAAAATCAACCAAAACAAAGAAAATGATACAGAACTTCTAAACAAGACAGTAGGCAATTAGTAATGGTTACCATAATGCGTCTTGTTAGCCTCTAAATAGTTGCTTAGACTACCAGCTTTAGGCCTGCAAAGTCAATCAACCAATACAAGCATTGTTTCTTTACTTTAGTTACTATCATCTCAGCCTGTGTTCCTCTGAGTCGGCTGATTGCTTACAGGTGTGGGGAAGCAGGGCCTCTTTTTCTTTCCTGGCCTGTAGGCCGGCAGGCTGGAAGGTAAGTGGGTTGGGTTCCTGGTTATCCCTGCTAGCATGGTTTCTTCTGGCTTACAGTGGGTGTCTTGGGTCAAGCTCCATGTTGACTACAGAGAGATTTCAATGCTATCTTTCCCTCCTAAATTTCCTATCCACCAGCTTAAACCAATTCTCTCTGACCTATGTTTGGTCAAAAGTAGGCTTCTTTCAGCTTTTCTGATCAGAACTACTGGAAAGCATAGAATCCTTGGTTAGGTTACCAAGGCACTGTTCAAAATGGAATACAGCAGAAGTTAAATATGAGCTTAAGAAATTTAAATTTTGTTTACAAAGTTTTTATCTGCAAAGTTTAATATAACTAACACGCAAAAGACTTTGAGGGACCAGATATAAAAAACAATAATTAGGCCAACCTGAGAACAAAAATACTCATCAGATGAGATAAATGACTTTGACTTTTTCCCTAAGACCCAAAACTCATTAAAACATGGGTATGAAGGTACAGTAAAATGTAAACCCAGCAGGAAAGAGAAACAGAGTTGGAAATTCTGTTTGAGAGCTACATTAGGTATTAGATTCTATGAAATAGTAAAACTGTTTTATCTTGATATGGCTAGGTAGCTCAAGATAGAAAATCCATTTGTTTTACCAATAAAACACACCCAAGGTATATGTACATAGCATGTGCACATCCTGCTACAATCATTTAGTCTTTTACTGCAGTGAACAGCAAACAATAAAAAGCTGGCTTTGTTCTAGAGCAACGTGAAAGTGTTTTCACTTCCTTTTCCTTATTACCACCAATGGTGGACTTTAATCCACACTGTCAATAGGTGTCCGAGTGCTTAATTTTCCTGTGAATTATATTAGTAATTTTATGAAAAAAATCTTTTTTAAAGGTTACATTTCAAAATACAGCTTAGAAACTGGGGACTTAATATTTAAGTATTTTTAAAGTATTTACATATAGAGCTTTTGTAGCATCACTTGTAATTTGCTCTCCTATTCAAAAGCAGAGTGCATTCATTTCTTGCTCAATTTAAAAGTGATCTGATACAAATAGGTATGTAACAATGTGTATAGAACAATTATTACATATTGTTTTGTAGTAGAACACTGAAAGCAACCCAAACGTCCATCAACAGAATCGCACATAGCCTATATCTAAATAAGGGAATACCATATAATTTTTAGAAAGAAAGACACAGATTTCTAATATAGTACTTTGAAATACTTAAGTGATAAAAAAAAAGGGAAGGTAAGTATTTAAGTATGAAAAAAATTCAGCGGAGTAGTGTATTTTATACAGTGCCTAGTAACATCCTGCACATCTAAAATTCACCAGTTAGCCAGGGATTTAGCTCAGTAGCATAAATGCCTGCCTGGCAAGCGCAAGGTCATGAGTTTGATCCCCAGTACCAAAAGATAAAATAAAATAAAATAAAATTCACCAGTTAGATCATCTCAACGTTATTTATCAAAGTAGTTTAAGTCCATTAATTCTTCCTCATTCTTTTTTCTTGCATTTATGACTTCAGATTGAAGTATATTTTCATATTCTACAAACTACAAGTAAAATCAATGAAAATGGAAGAATCCTAAATTAAGAACAAACAAACAAAAAGGCCTGTTACTTCAAATGAGTAACAAAAATACCAAGAAGGGAACAAATATGAGTAAGGGCAAGGTTAGATCCTCCTCAGGATGGCTGGATCCTAGCTGTAGGTGTCAACCAATATATACCAGTAAACTTACTGGTATAAAGACAATAAATATGGGGAAGCAGACATAAATATGAGTACGTATACACATGTGCATATATTTCCTATTTGCTGAAATGGTCTAGAAGCAAGGATACTGGAGTAGCAGTGTGTACATGAGGTGCCTGATTTCTAAATATCATTATGGAAAAATAAAGAGAACAAAGAATCCTTGAAAAAATGTATGACTTCAGTGTTTGGGCAGGTAAAAAGCAAAATAAGCCGAGAGCATCTTGCCATGCTACAAAGTAACTGTTTAGAGACTAATGAATTTATGTGAAAAAGAAACAAGCTTGGAGATCCCAAGTTTAAATCTGGGGCATTTTCAGCATCAGAATAATAATGATTCAGGCATGATGGCACATGCCTATAACTCCAGCACTCAGCAGGCTGAGGTGGGAGGATCACTGTGAATGTAAGGCCAGCCTAGGCTACATAGAGTTCAAGGTCAGCCTGCACTTCACAGTGAGACTTTGTCTCAAAAACAATAGCGAT